ATCCTTCAGGCCTGCTGTGTGTGTTAAACGGCAGATGTAATTACAGAAAGTTAAGAAGCTTAGACCAAGGGTGAAAAATCTGCATAACAACGAAACAAGATATTATGCAAAACCTATGTAGTGTTAAAATAAGCATAATGGGATGTCCTTTTGTGAAATGTCACTAACTAATTTCTTTAAACGGATACTTCCTTTTTCTCTGGGCCCCCTCATCTCCCCAACCACCACCACCAAAAAGAAAAAGGTGTAAGCTAACCTAGTTTTAGCTTTTACCTTTTGAGTTTCCAAAGTTTAGGCCCAATGGGAATGGAAAGGAGTCAAGACATATACAACATTGAGCAACAGTCAACTCCTCCTGCCCTTTAAGCTTCTCACTCCTTGCTGCCATGATGAGAGGAAGCCCTATCAGTCACGTGGCAAGATCCACTAGAAGAGAATCAAAGGCCTTATCAGTCAAGCCCCAGTTGAGCTCCCAACCAGCATTTATCCAGGCTAGTGAGGACACTTGGAAACTTCCAGACATCCCAATGCTCCAGCTAACATCACATGAAACAGAAGAGCTATGTGGTGGACCTACAAAATCATAAGAAGAGATGTATCACTAATGATTCATGCCATTGGGTTTGGGTGTAGTTTTTTAAGGCAGCAAATAAATAAATAAAACAGTGTGAAGATGCTGGTGAAAACCAAGCCTTTAATGAATGCAGAGGAACAACTTAGGAGCTCAGGTCCAGCTTGATAGATGATGAAGAGTGCCTCATGTCTGCTCACACCATGATAACTGTGCAGGTCATCCAGGGGGGTTACTACAAAACCAACATGGATTTTGTGGGGCCACAAAAGACAGTAACTGTCAAATTCAGCCTACAGACCTTCAAAAGGAAGCAGTAGATTGGGGGCACCATTGCCTCCAAGGTTGTGTGCATTGGCACCAAAGACAGTTCCCTCTCTGACTGGCTCACCTTTTAAAACGACCTCTGATTGTTATGCATAAGCTTTTTGGTAATGCCATCATGGGTAGTACCTGGAACCTGAAGGATGTGACATTTTGGCCTTCTCTCCTGATGGTTCTGTAACCTTTCTCAGACTTCTCCAGGGATGAGATTGAAGATCCCCCAGAGTGATGAGAAAGTCACATTTTTAAGTTCATTTATATTAACAGTTCAGTCACAGTTAGCTACTGAAGTTCAAATTTCTGTGACCACTTTGGAGAAAAACAAGATCCTAAGAGGATGGCAGAGAGAAGAACTGATGCCTTTATCAAAGTAGCAAGGATGGCCAACCGGGCAAGTACAGAGGACATCACAAAGAATCTTGGAACAACAGGTTGTCTCGCAAATGGCAGAAGGTCAAGGAAGAATTAAGCCCACCTGCACTGCCCAGATGGTCTCTGAGTTCTCCACACATCTGTACCAGCCCCTCCCACCGCGTGGAGTCCGCGCAGGCTGTGAGTTCTCCTCTCATTGGCTCTAACATCCTGTAAGTGAAGTGGCATCAACTCCCTCAGGCCCCCAACCTCTCACAGGACCTCCAGCACTGCCTGTCCCCATGAGTCCCTTCATCTCTTGGTGCAGAATGTGGCCTTTCAGCCCATGATACAAATCCTTGACAAGAGCAATACTTGAGGTAGCTTTTAATTTTCCTCACTCAGGAATTTAACTCTTTTTTGAATGTAATCTTAGACAAAGTCATTTACTGCTGAGAGCCACAGGACACAATGGGCCCAGGTGTAGGAATCGTGACTTTCCACAGGGCTCCTTGAGGAAGAACCTGCCAGCTCAGATGATCAGAGGCAGCTTCTGCTTTATCTCTGAAGGATGATGGGGTTAAGGCTCTCAGCATTAACCTTCAACAGAGCCACATTGTGCCTGACAGGTGTGGATCTCTCTTCTAAGGAGAGAGCTCAAAGGGGCCACTGTAGTTTTCAGGGAGGAAAGCTACAAGATTTGTGGCTTGCGTGCTAACATGCAGAACCTGACTTCCCAGAGCATCCTTGTCTGATCTTAGCCTTAACATCCTTGGACTCTTTCCACTGCAATCCTGGACTAGATCCTGGGAATACTCCCAGGACGATGTGGCTCCGTACTGGATCTCAGCCTACTTTCAGAGAGTTCTGGGGGTTGAAGGGGTTGTGGAGTGAGTAAGGTCAGATCCCCTCAGAATTTGCTCACCAGCACAGCTCAGCTTTTGGGAAGAGATATGGTCCTGTCCCTGAACAAGGCATAGCTGTAACCATTGGGTGAATGACCACATGTAGATGGAAACTATTAAGGTTCTATGCAGTTAAAAATCTGACCCAGGACCTGTGTAAAAAGGAAAAACTGTTTCAACGCTGGCTTTTTTTTTTCTGCTAGAGTTTACTGCCTTGTAAAATGGCATTTCCCATGGCTAACAGTTGAATTGGAGTCACTTGTAGGAAATTTAAATTCTAATTATGATAATTAGGTTGTAAAATAAGCATAGCGACATTAACTTATCCATTATATTTTGTTTTCAATTTTTAAATGGTTACAAAATTAGCCTTAAAAACTGTTATTTTCGATTCTGGGAGTACATGTGCCGGTTTGTTATCTGGGTATACTGCATGTTGCTGAGGTTTAGGGTGTGGGTGATCCTGTCACATAGGAAGTGAGCATAATACTCAATACCTTTTTTTTTTTTCCTAACGACGTCTTGCTCTGGTCGCCCAGGCTGGAGTGCAGTGGCACGATCTCGGCTCACTGCAACCTCCACCTCCTGGGTTCAAGCTAGTCTCCTGCCAAAGCCTCCCAAGTAGCTTGGATTACAGGCGCCCGCCACCATGCCCAGCTAATTTTCATATTTTTAGTAGAGACAGCGTTTCACCGTGTTGGCCAGGCCGGTCTCGAAGTCCTGACCTCAGGTGATCCACTCACCTTGGCCTCCCAAAGTTCTGGGATTACAGGCGTGAGCCACCACGCCTGGCCAATAGTTTTACAATGCTTGCCTCCCTCCTTCCTTATCCCATTTTGGAGTTCCCAGTGTCTATTGTTGCCACCTTTATGTTCATGTGTATCCAATGTCTAGCTCCCACTTAAAAGTGAGAACATGCAGTATTTGGGTTTCTGTTCCTGCATTAATTCGCTTAGGATAATGGCCGCCACCGCATCCACATTGTGGCAAAGGACATGATTTCGTTCTTTTTATGGCTGTGTAGTAGTCCATGGTGTATTTGAACCACACTTTCTTTATCCAGTCTGCTGCTGATGGGCACCTGGGTTCATTCCATGTCTTTGTAAAAATAGACTTTTTTTTTTTTTTCTAAAAAGAGGCGAAGTTGGTGGGCAATTCTCAGTGAAATTGTGAAATAAATGGACACTGTACTGACGCTGACCAAAAGTAAAATCTAGTGATAGGATGGGCTAAATGAGGGAGTACTGGGGGAAGACACAAGGGCCCGAGGACATGAGGAGAGTGGAGTGGTGTGCAGTGAATTCTCTTGTGCTGGAGGACAGGGAGCAACCCTCTTGCCGACCTGACCTGGAAGCCTCGGGAATTTTCCATCCCCAGATCCCCAGGCAATACCAGGAGGCCTGTGAAAGCTTCCAGGTTGGAGCAGAGGGCAGGGCCAGTCACACCTGGGGTGGATTACGAGAAGAGAGAGAAAGGGGGAAAGGTGAGCACAGCCATCGTAATGATGCAGGTGCCTCCAGCCAGATCCCAGTTCTCACGGGCCACCAGTCTCAGCCTAGCTGACATCGACCCAGGGAGTCCAGACTCCCACACTCTTGGCTTCCTCCCAGCCACTGTTAGGCATGAACGGGACACCTCAAAGTTCTGCACATCTCCAAAAAGAACCCCGTTCCCTGACCCCAGCCCTGAAGCTTCGTAAGCACGGACTGTCTTGAGGCCATCGGAGGCATCTCCTTGTGCCCTTTCTCCCGTGCGACTCCATATCCACAGGAAGACCTAGACTCCATGTCACCCCAACATGTGAGGCCCCTCTGCCACCCTGACCCCACCTTCCATCACCCTCAACTTTTGAAACGCTGCCAACACACCCTTTGGGATCACAGCCAGTTTTAGGTAAAATCCCTGTATCCTCAGCCACCCCTCTGATGGGTCCCTTTAGTGTTTTGCTGCTCTGAGGCCACTGCTTCTTATGGCCCCTCGAAGGGGCAGCTGCTTCCTCTCCACATCCCACATTGGTTTTGGGTGTGCTCCTCATAGTGACTAAAGACCATGTTTCCTCTCCCCTCTACAGTCCTCACATTCTCAGACTACCACCCACCACCCCTCCTTGCCACGTCCCTTTATGCATCACTGAGTTGAGCTCCTCTCATGTCTCAATAAGGTTAGCACCTCTTCCTTGACACACACTGTTCAGTGCTATCCTCATGAGGCTCCTTGGTGAGTCAGTGACCACAAATGCCCTCTTCAATCCCCTGGCCTCCCTTCCCTACCTTCTTCTCCTCCACTAATCAGTTCTTCACCTGCTGCAGCCTCTCCTTCTATCATGCCCTGCCCTGTGTCTACGGCACCACCCCCTCCATGATCCCGACTGCAAACTCTCTACCGTTTCACCATCTCTTCCTTTGTTCCAACACTCTTAGTTGACTATCCCAGATTCAAGACTTCTTTGACGCTCTTTTGGGTTTTTGTTTTCCACTTGGCTTCAAGGGCCCTGCACCCTTGGGTAGAATTTGGACAGATCTAGAAACCTGGGGAAAATTTTAAAATTGTTTATGTAGAAAGGTCTGTGGGGAAGTGGGAGTGATTGGAGAGAGTGAAGATGGAGCAAAGAGCTCACAGAAAGGGTCAGAGAAACATGTGCTCAGTTTGCCATGAGATTGAGGTCAGCCTGCCTGAAATTAAGGGAAAACAGTCTGATAAGCTTGAAAAAGTTCAGTGTAATCTGATTAAACGTAGGGACTTGTGCAAGATCCAATTCAACAATAAAGCGTTCCCTGACTATTCTAGTATCTGGGGCATTTTTTATCCACTCGACCTCTTTCATTTATTAATCATCTAATGTGTTTCAGATGCTGTGCTGGGGCCTGAGCAAAGCCAGGCAAGATGTGGTTCCTGCTATCAAGCTGACTGACATCTATCAGAAAGAACAGATCACGGTGATTTACATGATCTTAGAGTTGTATGTGGGGTCATGAAATAAAAGTGATCATGAAATAAAAGGGAGGTCAGGAATGTGTCCTGAAGAGATGCTGTGGCTAAGTTCTGGGGGAAAATAGGAGTGTAGTGGACAGACCAGACTCAGAATTCTGGCCATTGTCACCCCTCCCTCTAAGGCAAGCTTCCTCTCACCCACGGCCCTGCTGGCATGAAGATTGCATGGCAGCACCCAAGCCCCCAGCCCATCTCCAATTCGTAGTAGCCACAGGAGGACAGCACCCATCACTAAAGCCTTGTTCTGAAAAGAGACAAGCCGACTGCATGGTGGTTCCAAAGAGTTTAAATAAATCAACAGAGAGAGATTGAGTCAATGGAGGGGTCAGAAGCTCGGAAGTGCTATGAGATAGAGGCTGGGCAGTAGTGAGCCATGACTCTGAAGAGCTACCGTGGTGATGAAACAGAAGTGCAACAGCGAACGGAGCCAGGAGGAAGACAGAAGGGAATGGAGAGGCCATACAGAGAGAATCAGGGATGCCACCAGGGAGGTCCTGGGCCTAGGGCAGACATGGAAGGGAGGAGGACCTGGTGTGGTCCCTACACCTTTTCACGCCAGCTTCAGTCCCCAAGTGTCATCTCTCTCTCTCTCTCTCTCTCTGTGTGTGTGTCTCTCTCACACACACACACTCACATACATTTTTCTAGGTCATAAAATGACCCAGAAAATATACTTCCAAGTATACAACCAAAGAAAAATTTCTCATATGTGTACAAGGAAACAAGTACAATGGTGTTCATTGGAAAAAAAATGTAAATATTCAGCAGAGAAATCAATAATTAATTGTGATATTTGTATGTGTCAGACTACATTTAGAAGTAGAGTGAACCAGTATTCTAGATAGATGGATAGACAGACATATAAATATGTGACACACATACACACAGACACATCATATATATACTTTGTATACACATATACATGGATAAGGATAAATCTTAAAATGATAAAATTTAAAACGACATTGAATATATACATAATACCATTTATATACATTGAAAACAATAGTATGTGTTGCTTGTTCTGGATACAAAAAATACAGACATGTAACTGTTACAAAAATTAATTTAAAGTTTACAATATAGTAGTTGCTTCAAAAGATAATGGAACAACTTTGGCGAGACAAATTAGTTGTTCACTTCAAAAAGTTTAATTTATGTTTTATTTAATAAGAATTAAATCAAATGTGACCAACAAAATTGTGAATTATTGTATATTTAATGTTTTTCTTTTTTGTTTTTATTTTTTTATAGACATGGTATCCTGCTATGTTGACGAGGCTGGTCTCAAACTCCTGGACCCACGAGACTCTCCTGCCTTGGCCTCCCAAAGTGCTGGGATTACAGAGATGAGCCACTGTGCCTGGCCACTGTTTTTTAAATATTAAGAAAAAAATGAATAGAGAGAAGGTGAGCAGAAAGGAGGCACGAAGAAAGTGCAGTTGTCTGGACAACAAAATCAGAAACAAAAGCACGGATGTGGAGAGGGAGGGATGAAACGTAAATGATAATAAAAAGAGAATCAATATGTGTTGGTGAATGTCTAAGGGTGGGACTCAGTGAAAAGGAGACGCACACTTTGGCTCTGGGCTTTCTGGCTGGTACTGATGTTGATAACATAGGATAGAGAACAGGGAGCGGGTTAGGGGAGGCAGGTGATGAATCTGACTTTGGAAGTGCTGAGTGTGAAGGTCCCATGTTTCATCCAAGTGGGTGATGTGTCATGGGTACATCAATGCTAAGGACAGAGCTAGGAACCATTTGCATCAAAGTTGCAGTTGAAGCCATATAACATTGGGAGACTCAGGGAAAGTACCTAGAATGACAAGGACAGATAGTAAAGGATGGAGCCTTGTGCTGTGAATGGACTGAAGATTGCCAGAAAATGAACTTGTGAGGTGGGTGGTAAGAAATAGTGCTGGTGCCATAAGAGAATGGTATTACAGAGGCTCAGGAAAGCAAGTACCTTAAGGCATAAAACTTATAACAAAAGTCAGAAAGAAATATGAATACATATTTATTGGATTTGGAGGTGCTGAAGATGAGCCACAGGATACCCCTTTCTGGTCACTCTTAGCCATTGGCCTCTGTGCCCCCCTTCTTTGTGTGTCTCCATGAAAGTATGCAGTTCAAAGCCCCAGGAATGAAAGGGTTAAGTGTATGACTTCTTTTTATGTGTCCAGTCTTTCCTTTCTTCATTCCGGGGCATTTTTCATGAGCATTCCTTCCCTTACTTGTTGATGTTATTTTAAACATCTTCTTGAAGTAGTGATCTAGACTGGATCTGTGTCCCCACCAAATCTCGGGTCGAATTATAATCCCTACTGTTGGAGGTGGGGCCTGGTGGGAGGTGACTGGATCACGGGGGTGGTTTCTCCTGAAGAGTTTAACACCGTCCCCCTTGGTACTGTCGTGGCAATAGTGAAGGTGTTCTCGTGAGATCTGGTTGTTTAACAGTGTGTAGCGTCTCCCCCAGCCCCTTTGTCTTTCTCCTGCTCCCGCCGTTTTTGACACTTCTCTCCTTGTTTACCTTCCGCCATGATTGTAAGTTCCCTGAGACCTCTCCAGAAGCTGATGCTGCTTCCTGTACAGCCTGCAGAACCACGAGACCATTAAAACTCTTTTCTTTATAGATTACCCAGCCTCAGGTATGTCTTTATAGCAATATGAGAATGGCCTAACACAAGTAGGAAAGTATTATGGGATGGATTCTTCTCCCTTTAAAATGCTTATCTGGAAGTCCTAATCTCCAGAACGTCAGAATGTGACTGTATTTGGAGAGAGGGTGTTTAAAGAGGTCATTATGCTCAAATGAAGCCTTTAGAGTGGGCCCTAATCCAGTACGACCGGTGTCCTTTTAAAAGGGAGAGACACCAGGCCTGTGCGTGTGCAGAGGAAAGGCCATGTGAGGACACAGTGAGAAGGCAGTCATCTGCAAGCCAAGGAGAGAGGCCTCAGGAGAAATCAAAGCTGCCAAGAGCTTGATCTTGAACTTCTAGCCTCCAAAACTGCGAGAAAAGACATTTCTGTTGTTTAAACCACCCAGGCTGTGGTGTCTTGTAATGGGAGCCCCAGCAAACCAATGTAGGAAGGATGTGGAAGTTCTGCTAGTGACCAGGTCTGCCTGGCTGTGTCTGTTATGAATGTGCTTGGGCGTCCTGGAGGGAGCGATGTGTGCACAAGTTAAGGTTGCAGATCCAGTCACACTCTCAAAACCAAAGGGGACGGAAGTGGGAGATGAAGTCAGGAAGATTAAACTCAGGGGTCAGATCACGTAGATCATTTTAAGGATATCTCTGTTGAAACATTTTTAAAAATTACAGTGTCTTGGCTTGATAAGGCCACCGGAAAAACAGGAACCTGAACAAAAAAACTAATTGAGTTCATTTTAAACAGCATCCATCCCCTTGCCCCTTCAGAAAGGTGAACAAAAGGCAAATGACACAAACCTGAAATGCTAGGCAGAGGAGTTTTAATGATGTGATACAGGAGACAGTCCAGGTGTCTGAGCACGAATAATTGAAGAGTGGGTGTTATTTGAGGAGGATCAAGAAAGGTTGGGAAGGAGGTGGGGGAAGAGAACATTCCCAATCTCAGCTTACTGTCATGCCTTCCTGCCTCCTACCTCCTGTCACATCAATCCTTCCTGTAAATGCTGGCAGAGGAGACCCTGGCCCCAGTGCCATTTTCTAGAAGATGTTCTCTGCCCTTCCCCAGCCAGACTGGTCACCACTAGGTGATGGTTCCAAGGGACCAAGGGGCCATGTCCCCCAGAACCCATGCACCTCCTTCTACACCACACCCTCCAGTACCTGGGACTCTGGAATGATATACTCCTACAGTCCCAAGCCCACTTCCAGCACCCCTGCCTGCCTCTTTCCAGGGTCCACCTTCTGAAGGGTCAAGCGGGCTTCTGAGGGGCTGCAGGGCTGCAGTGGAACTTAAATGTGAAGCCAGGATGTCCACCCATCATTAATCACCTCTCCAAGCAGGAGGCAGCCAAGAGTGAGAAGAGAAAGGGCAGGGTCACAGGCTGGGGGAGTGGAGGCTGGTTCTCCTTGAGAGGTGACATTCTGGTACGTCACACAGAGGAACCTGAGTTCTGAAGTCAAACCTTGTATTCCATGTCCTTATGAAGCACTGTTTGCCAAGGTAGGAGGACAAAACATGTTCTGTGTAACAGTATGGAGCTCAGTGTATAACTTTACATGTTGGACATATGGTCGTCTCGCTCTCATTGCCCAGGCTGCAGTGCAGTGGCATGATCTCGGCTCACCGCAATCTCCGCCTCGCAGGTTCAAGCGATTCTCCTGCCTCAGCCTCCTGAGTAGCTGGGATTACAGGTGTGTGCCACCATGCCTAGCTAATTTTTGCATTTTTAGTCGAGACAGGATTTCACCATGCTGGCCAGGCTGGTCTCGAACTCCTGATCTCAGGTGATCGGCCAGCCTCGGCCTCTCAAAGTGCTGGGGTTACAGGCCTAAGCCACCGTGCCCGGCCCATTTGTGCAACGTTGAAGGCAACATGCTCTCCATCCGGGCTTGTTGAAGGCAACATGCTCTCCTCAGCCACTGACTCCAAAACCAAGACCTAATGATTCATTTTCCCTTGATTTTATTTCACGGTGTCATTTCCTCCTTAAAGCATTAAATGGCAATATTTTCATTTAAATGTTTCAGAATGAACATTGATATTTGTGACATTTGCCTTTGGTTCACACGTCTGAGAAGGAAAAATGATGGATGTCTTTTTGGTATTAATTCAATGATTTGTCATTTGTGTTCTGCTTTTCTATTTTTCCAATATTCTATGAAGCTATACTGTAACATCTTCTTCTGCTATTAATAACACAATGATCGTATTTAAATAGAGACATCTATCTAAGTTTCAATTCATTCAGAGGAATGAGGACAGGCAATACACACCTTCTCCCTCTCAGGTTTGCAGTTGTATGTGCAGTAACTGAGTCTGGTCAGCAGATGGCAGTGAACATCTTGTCAGAAAGAAAAATAATTATTTAGGTTGCGTTAAAAATAAAGAGCCAGAGACAGAAAACACAGGACCTGTGGAGAAGCAGACGTGCTACAAAACACTGCCTTTGTTGCAGGAGAGGGCAATGCACACTTTTTTTTTTTTTTTTTTTTTTTGCCACGTCTCACTCTATCACCCAGGCTGGAGTGCAGTAGAGCATCCTGACTCACTGCAGCCTCCGACTCCAGGGTTCAAGCGATTCTCATGCCTCAGCCACCCAAGTGGCTCCACGCCACCACGCCAGGCTAATTTTTTGTATTTTTAGTAGAGACGGGGTTTCACCAATGTTGGCCAGGCTGGTCTCGAACTCCTAACCTCAGGTGATCCACCCGCCCTGGCCTCCCAAAGTGCTTGGACTGCAGGCGTGAACCACCGTACCGGGCCCAATGCACATTTTGTATGGAATCTATGCAGCGCAACACCTTGCTTCATGCACCCCTTTCTACCCAACCCTGCTTACTTATTCAGGAGAAATTGTGCACATGAGATGTTAAATTAATGGCACACTCAGATTGGGGAATTCTGAGACAGGGAGGGTAAAACTGGGGTGACCTGGAGTGCAGAAGGCTGGCCCTGCCTCGCAGTCCCCAGGGAGGGCCGGGCTGCTGAGTGGCACGATCTGCCTCTCCAGATGCCCGGCTCTGACCTGCTTCCTGCCGCAGCTCCTTGGCAGCTCCTTGGCTGGGCCTCCCTGCTTCTCTGTATGCTTGCAGCATCCCAGGCTGGCTCTAGGCTCCAGAACCCAACCTGGGCCCCCCGCCCTAGCAGCCCCGCGCGGCCTGCGAGGAAGACAGCTTGTTTAACCCGTGCAGCCTCATCTCCCCGCTGATCCGGCGGTTACCATGGCAACCCCCAAGGCTCCTCCGGCATTCTCATTGACTGACCAGGCTTGGAAAAACCATTCTGGAATTGGCGGAGGTATATCTGGGGGGAAATTTTAATGAAAGAACAGCTTGACCTAGTTTTAATTCAGCACCATGAAATGGTAGGGACTTGAGGTGTGACTGTGACTGAATAGAAAGGGATAGCTGCTGCCAGGAAATGGGAAGGTCTCCCAGGCTGAAGAGAGATAGAGCAAGACAGGGCCTCGACCTTTGCTATTTCCTCATCTTCCAGCAAGAAAAGATCAACCCCCAGCCTGGCCAACATGATGAAACCCCATCTCTACTAAAAATACAAAAGTTAGCCAGGTTTGGTGGTGGGTGCCTGTAATCCCAGCTACTCGGGGAGGCTGAGGCATGAGAATTGCTTGAACCCAGGAGGTGGAGGCTGCAGAGAGCCAAGACTGCGCCAGACAGAGTGAGACTCTGTCTAAAAAAAAAAAAAAAGAAAAAAGAAGAAGAGCTCAACCCTAAAATTAGTGGGCAGTTCTCCAACATGGGAAACCATGGGATCCATAGCGTGCAAGACCTTGCTTTATGCACCCCTTTCTACTCAACACAGCTTACTTGGGGAAATACCAAAAACAATGCAGAAATAGAGAATAATTCTGTTTTT